CACTGTGTGCTGCTGGATTTTTTTTATACTGTACACACTGACCACATAGACCCATTCTTTCATATGTAGGCCTACCAGCTTTCTCTCGCTAGATTTGAAGGTGCTAGAATTTAGGCGTTCTGGGTTGTCAATAACCTTGGTGCGTAAGCCGTACTAGTACGTTGGAAACCCTGAAAGGGTTAAAAGACAAAGAAAAGAAGTAACCCCAGAGACGGACTTGTTACCTGGAGGGGGATTTCCCTTCCAAGCAATAATCCCCAACTCCCTCTCCCCTCCTCCCTGTCTTCCATAAGCCAACAAGAGTCTTCAATAAAGGCATGTAATGTTTATAATTTTTTTTTTTTTTCAACAAGTCGGCCGTCTCCCACCGAGGCAGGGTGACCCAAAAAAGAAAGAAAATCCCCAAAAAGAAAATACTTTCATCATCATTCAACACTTTCACCACACTCACACATTATCACTGTTTTTGCAGAGGTGCTCAGAATACAACAGTTTAGAAGCATATACGTATAAAGATACACAACATATCCCTCCAAACTGCTAATATCCCAAACCCCTCCTGTAAAGTGCAGGCATTGTACTTCCCATTTCCAGGACTCAAGTCCGACTATATGAAAATAACCGGTTTCCCTGAATCCCTTCACTAAATATTACCCTGCTCACACTCCAACAGATCGTCAGGTCCCAAGTACCATTCGTCTCCATTCACTCCTATCTAATACGCTCACGCACGCTTGCTGGAAGTCCAAGCCCCTCACCCACAAAACCTCCTTTACCCTCTCTCTCCAACCCTTTCGAGGACGATCCCTACCCCTCCTTCCTTCCCCTACAGATTTATATGCTTTCCATGTCATTCTACTTTGATCCATTCTCTCTAAATGACCAAACCACCTCAACAACCCCTCTTCTGCCCTCTTACTAATGCTTTTATTAACTCCACATCTTTTCCTAATTTCCACACTCCGAATTTTCTGCATAATATTTACACCACATATTGCCCTTAGACAGGACATCTCCACTGCTTTCAACCGTCTCCTCGCTGCGGCATTTACCACCCAAGCTTCACATCCATATAAGAGTGTTGGTACTACTATATTTCATACATTCCCTTCTTTGCCCCCCAAGATAAACGTTTTTTGACTCCACATATACCTCAACGCACCACTCACCTTTTTTCCCTCATCAATTCTATGATTAACCTCATCCTTCATAAATCCATCCGCCGACACATCAACTCCCAAGTATCTGAAAACATTCACTCCTTCCATACTCCTCCTCCCCAATTTGATATCCAATTTTTCTTTATCTAAATCATTTGATACCCTCATCACCTTACTCTTTTCTATGTTCACTTTCAAACTTTCTACCTTTACAAAACATTCCCAAACTCATCCACTAACCTTTGCAATTTTTCTTTAGAACCTCCCATAAGCACAGTATCACAGCAAAAAGTAACTGTGTCAATTCCCATTTTGAATTTGATTCCCCATAATTTAAAAATCCCACCCCTCTCCCCAACACCCTAGCATTTTACTTCTTTTACAACCCCATCTATAAATATATTAAACAACCATGGTGACATTACACATCCCTGTCTAAGACCTACTTTTACCGGGAAGTATTCTCCCTCTCTTCTACACACCCTAACCTGAGCCTCACTATCCTCATAAAAACTCTTAACAGCATTTAGTAACTTACCACCTATTCCATATACTTGCAACATCTGCCACATTGCTCCTCTATCACTCTACCATATGCCTTTTCTAAATCCATAAATGCAATAAAAATTCCCTACCTTTATCTAAATACTGTTCACATATATGCTTCAATGTAAACACTTGATCTACACATCCCCTACCCACTCTAAAACCTCCTTGCTCATCTGCAATCCCACATTCTGTCTTACCTCTAATTCTTTCAATTATAACCCTACCGTATACTTTTCCTGGTATACTCAGTAAACTTATTCCTCTATAATTTTTACAATCTCTTTTGTCCCCTTTCCCTTTATATAAAGGGACTATACATGCTCTCTGCCAATCCCTAGGTACCTTCCCCTCTTTCATACATTTATTAAACAAAAGTACCAACCACTCCAACACTATATCCCCCCGTGCTTTTAACTTTTCTGTCATGATCCCATCAGTACCAGCTGCTTTAACCCCTTTCATTCTACGTAATGCCTCACGTACCTCCCCCACACTTACATTCTGCTCTTCTTCACTCCTAAAAGATGGTATACCTCCCTGGCCAGTGCATGAAATTACCGCCTCCCTTTCTTCCTCAACATTTAAAAGTTCCTCAAAATATTCTCGCCATCTACCTAATGCCTCCCTCTCCCCATCTACTAACTCCCCTACTCTGTTTTTAACTGACAAATCCATACTTTCCCTAGGCTTTCTTAACTTAACTCGCTCCAAAATTTTTTCTTATTTTCATTAAAATTTCTTGACAGTGCCTCTCCCACTCTATCATCTGCTCTCCTTTTGCACTCTCTCACCACTCTCTTCACCTTTCTTTTACTCTCCATATACTCTGCTCTTCTTATAACACTTCTGCTTTGTAAAAACCTCTCATAAGCTACCTTTTTCTCTTTTATCAAACCCTTTACTTTATCATTCCACCAATTGCTCCTCTTTCCTCCTGCCCCCACCCTCCTATAACCACAAACTTCTGCCCCACATTCTAATACTGCATTTTTAAAACTATTCCAACCCTCTTCAACCCCCCCACTACTCATCTTTGCACTAGCCCACCTTTCTGCCAATAGTCGCTTATATCTCACCCGAACTTCCTCCTCCCTTAGTTTATACACTTTCATCTCCCTCTTACTTGTTGTTGCCACATTCCTCTTTTCCAATCTACCTCTTACTCTAACTGTAACTACAACTAAATAATGATCCGATATATCAGTTGCCCCTCTATAAACATGCACATCCTGGAGCCTAACCATCAACCTTTTATCCACCAAGACATATTCTAACAAACTACTTTCATTACGTGCGACATCATACCTTGTAAACCATACCCCGGCCGGGACTGAACCCGCGGTCAGTCTCAAAACTCCAGCCCGTCGGGTTCAATCCCGGCCAGGGTATGGTTTGTTTGCAATCGTGTCATTACGATTTCGTGAATCATACCTTGTATATTTATTTATCCTCTTTTTCATAAAATATGTATTACTTATTACCAAATCTCTTTCTACACATAGCTCAATTAAAGGCTCCCCATTTACATTTACCCCTGGCACCCTAAATTTATCTACTACTCCCTCCATAACATTTTTACCCACTTTAGCATTGAAATACCCAACCACCATTACTCTCACACTTGATTCAAAACTCCCCATGCATTCACTCAACATTTCCCAAAATCTCTCTCTCTCCTCTACACTTCTCTCTTCTCCAGGTGCATACACGCTTACTATAACCCACTTTTCACATCCAATCTTTATTTTACTCCACATAATCCTTGAATTAATACATTTGTAGTCCCTCTTTTCCTGCCATAGCTTATCCTTCAACATTATTGCTACTCCTTCTTTAGCTCTAACTCTATTTGAAACCCCTGACCTAATCCCATTTATTCCTCTCCATTGAAACTTTCCTACCCCCTTCAGCTTTGTTTCACTTAAAGCCAGGACATCCAGCTTCTTCTCATTCAAACATCCACAATCATCTCCTTCTTATCATTTGCACAACATCCACACACATTCAGACTTCCCACTTTGACAATTTTCTTCTTATTCTTTTTAGTAATCTTTACAGGAAAAGGGGTTACTAGCTCATTGTTCACGGCATTTTAGTTGACTTTTACAACACGCATGGCTTACGGAGGAAAGATTCTTATTCCACTTCCCCATGGATATAAAAAGGAAAAGTAATAAGACCAAGAACTATTAAGATAAAATCAAAGAAAACTCAGATGAGTGTGTATAAATAAATGTGTACATGTATGTGTAGTGTGACCTAAGTGTAAGTAGAAGTAGCAAGACATGCCTGTAATTTTGCATATTTATGAGACAGACAAAAGACACCAGCAATCCTACCATCATGTAAAACAATTACAGGTTTTCGTTTTACACTCACTTAGCAGGACGGTAGTACCTCCCTGGGTGGTTGCTGTCTACCAACCTACTACCTATAAAAAATGTTTATATTTATACTTATTTATCATAATTTTGTGTATGTAAAACCATTTATTCTTTAAAAATTAATTTTTTGTGAATATTTTTTGGGTGTCTGGATCGGATTAATTACATTTACATTATTTCTTATGGGAAAAATTTATTCATTTTTCACACGTTTCGGATTTTGGACCACCTTCTGGAACGGATTAAGTTCGAAAACTGGGGTTCCACTGTATAGTAATATATATTCCTGAAATCTGCTGGCAGTTAACATCTATGAACTTAGTGTTAACTCTTAACTGCTATGCACTACAGTTAAGTCGTTTAAATCAGATTTTCACGAAGGCAATAACTATCAGCATAATTCCCAGTGCATTATTATAATCAGAACTAAGCACTAAAGCCATAAAGGTTATACAGCACTGCAATTTCCAGTGCAAACGGCTTCCCTGCCTTAAAAATGCTTGGAGTGTTCTAGTTAAGAGTAAAAGTGCCATGGAGTGTACACTCACTGGTGTGGCATCTCTCACTGTTTAATTATTATATTTAGGGGAACGTCCTAAAAAAGTAGAGGTGATAAAGCACCAGGGAAGGGAGGCAATCACGTATGATCCAAGGAATGAACAAATTCAATTCGTTGGATCGTGAACCCCTCAATTTTTTTTTTAAGTTTCCTCTAATAATTCATCTACAATCACCTACAAAGTATGGTCAATATTCATATCTATTGTACTCTGTTTTATGAACCAACAAGTGAACGAAATTGATGCAAGGCGGTAAATTTACTCAAGATAAAAAAAAAAAAAAGTATTCCCAACACTGTTTCTTATACCAGCTTATCTTTCTGAAGTATGACAATAAAACTAATAAGAAACTTCCTCACAAGTTTATTTAATCAAAGAGGGAAGGTCAGCATTCACACCTTTTTCTCAGCAATTGCAGCCAGGAATTTTGCTTTCTTTGCCGCTCTTACTGCTGCTACCTCACGCTGCTTCTTTGTGGTAAGGTTGTGCTTGCGGGAAAACTTCATGTTTCGCAGAAACTTAGGATCAACCTGCAATGGAATAAAAAATTGTAATTTTATTTCTGACAACATAGACATGAACCAAAGATGGTTTCCTGAGCTTTAACCCTTAAACTGTCCAAACGTAGATCTACGTTTTTTCAACATTTGAAAGTATGTAAAAAAAGTTTTTTTTTTTTTTTTTTTTTTTACATTTGAAAACATGTAAAAAAACTTTGATCTACTTTTTTTTTTTGTTATATTTGAAAATATGTAAAAAAAAAAAACGTAATCTACTTTTGGAGCACTACGCATGTGAACGTAGATCTGCTTGGACAGTTTAAGGGTTAATATCCTCAGTACAACTCCATCACTACAAGAATTTATCTTCCCAGAGCTCTTCACAGATATTACAATGGTCACATTAGAAAATCGCATTAACACCAAAGCTAGCTCTGTTCATCACATGCTAACATTTCTGAATACCTGCTGGAAGTAACTCACTAATCACAATACCTCTTTTTACAACCAACTAATATTTACTTTTGATTTATACTTTCTTAATCCTTCTTACTCCACATTTTCTGAATAATCTAACCCTTTCAATCATTCTTCTACTCTGAAAATTATACTTTAAAATTCAATCACACTATGTTCAAATATGATCAAACTAAGTGCTAAACCCAAAAGGGTCATACAGTGCTGCAAGCGTGGGATTATGATAAAGAAAGAATATGCAGTCTGACAGAAAAAAAAAAAAGTGGACACAGGGCAATATCAATTTCAGGGGTCTGGACAATGAAAGGGTTAATGAACAGAGAAAATGTTGTTTTAGTGCCTAGAATGTCTAGTGTTTATTCTGGATTTTTTAAATCAGAATGTTTTTTTAATTTTGTGTAAAACAGTCTAAATAAACAACTTCTGCGCACTTTCTGATATTTTTTTTTTGTTATCAATTGAAAGAATGGATGGCATAGTAGCAAATTAGCTGCGAATTTTGTCAAACTTAGCAATGTGGTTGAATTAAAATAGGAAGTGGGTGAAAAAAACTGATGCGTAAATTCCTTCCAACCGCTAACTTTGTGCTCAGGCAATTCCATAAAATTTCATACTTTTGTCATACCTTCAGAAAAAAATTATCTTCAATTTCAGGGAAAAAAAAAAAAAAAAAAAAGAGGACAATGGGGGAAAATATCAATTTAGGGGGTCTAGACAAGTGAAAGTTAATTTGCGGGTCTGGAGAGTGAAAATTAATTTTAGAGGTCTGGACAGTGGATATTAATTTTGGAGGTCTGTAGAGTGAAAAAGTTAATATATTTATATACAAAAGTGACGAAAACCACATGTCAACTTACTCCACGGAGAGAAGGATACTTCTGCTTCTTGGGGCGTCGTATGGGATTACTGAAAAAGTAAAGTTAAATAATTAGCTTTCTGAAAGTTTTTATTTTAAATCTAAACATATTTTCATAAACTGTATCAATGGAAATACTGTACAGTAAAATTTAGGATGCACTAAATTTTAGATTTCACTTTCACAATCTGACAATAAGACAGCACTGGTACAGCAAATGAGTACTGTACACCTTCAACATTTTAATCATTACTTGTTTTTGTGACTAATTACAAACACGAATTGGCTAAACACATCTTTAAAATGTAGAACCCCACAAAATGTGCTATAAAACATACACGGTACATTTTTATCATTAACCACTTGAGGGTCCGTGCCATTGTTCTATGGGTTTGAGGCATGAGAAAAAACAGCGACTGTGTTTTTGGTTTAAAACAGAGACTTTCCACTATTGTTTTTATGGTTGCATTTGTGGTTTCTTGGTCTCATTTGATAGAATGCAAAATATAGTACAGAAATAAAGATGATTTTGATTGGTTTTAGGACTGAAAATAGCTCGAAATTGAGCTCAAAATAGGGGAAATGTTTGATTTTGGTCAATATTTGAGGGTAAACAAATCACATCACGTGTCCAATACACATCAGCTGGCAGGTCTAATGCATGTTCATTAAGGCACTGATATTATTTGTACAATTATTACACTCTTGCATAACAGTAACTTCCATTTTTTGTGTGAATAAAAAATCAAAATGGAATTAATGTGTAAAGCCTGGAAATGTAACTAACGAACAGAGGAAATGTTATTTTAGTGCCAGGAATGCCTGCATTGTCTACTTTGGACCCTATCTTGAAACTGGAATAATTTAAAATTTGTGTGAAACAGTTGATCGGGCAGTTACTTGTGCTCAACCGATAAAATGAAAGGCATACTAGCGAAACAGCTAATAATTTGGTCAACTGGAACAATGTAATTGGCCTAAAATAGGACTCTAAGTGAGCAAAACTGGCAATGCACAGATATTGTTAACACAACAAAATTCACGAAAGCATTATTTTGTCAATTTTCCACCAAATTTAGTTTTAGTACCTTCAGAAAAAGATTCTCTACCATTTCATAAAAAAAAAAAAAATCTTCTACCCTGTAGACAAGTGTTAGGTCAGGAGTCTGGACCCTCAAAGGGTTAATAAAAAATGTCCAAATGAAAATAACTACATAAAATACTTTAAATTTAGAAGCTTAGAGTTCAACTAATGTCACTACCATCGTTCTCTAAGAATCAGGGTCTGCGAAGATTTTGCTCATCTTGCAAGAGGAATTAACACCTACATGTAGAAGAAAAAATCTTTATGAAAAATTATTAAATCTCTAAAAGACGAATAAACTGAGAATGCAATGATCCTAAATTTTAATTTGAGAAACTTTAATTTTAGTTAGTGGAGAAAGTGTATACACTCAGTGGCAATTTTATTAGGTATACCTGCTCATTAACCCTTTGACTGCTTAGGTCATATATATACATTTTACGAGTCAATGTGTTTGACATACGTACACATATTAAAATATTCTAGTGGCTTCAAATCAAGCGGGAGAAAGCTGGTACTCCCACATGTGAAAGAATGGGTCGGTGTGGTCAGTGTGCGCAGTATAAAAGAAATTCCGCAGCACGAAGTTCATAATGAGAAAAAAATCTCCGACCATGATTTTGGATTAAAACGCTGACTTTGAGGTGTATTTTCGTATATTATTTATTTTTGTATTCTCGTTTTCTTGGTCTCACTTGATAGAATGGAAGACATATCATAGAAATAGAGATGATTTTGACTGATTTCACTATGAAAATTACCTTGAAATAGAGCTCAAAGTAGCGGAAATGTTCGATTTTTGCTGATGTTCGAGAGTAAACAAATTACATTATTGTCCAATAAATGTCCAACTAGCCATTCTAATATGCAGTCACGAATGGGTTGACATTATTTATACAATTATTACAATAATGCAGTAGTCTACATAACAGTAAATCTTCTATATTTTGTGTGAATAAAAATTCAAAATAGAAAGCAAGACTAATAAAAGGAGACATGACTGATGAACAGAGAAAATGTTATTTTAGTGCCAGGAATGTGTGCATTGTTCATTCTGGTCCCTATTTTGAAATTGGCGTATTTTTTAATTTGCATAAAATTGGCCAAATTGCCAATTTCTAACCACTTTATTGGGTAGTTGAAATCAGTAAATGGGCGGTTTCTTGTACTCAATCAATAGAACAAATGGAGTTCTAAAGAAACAGCTATTAGTTTTGTCAACTGGAACAATGGAATTGTCCAAAAATAGGGCTCAAAATCACTGATGCGTAAATATCACAGCGATCGCTAACTTCGCGAGGGTGTAATTCCGTAAGTTTTCCAATTTTCCATCGAATTTCGTACTTCTGGTGTCATTAGCATCGGAAAAAGATTCTCTATCATTTCATAACAATTTTTTTTTTTCAAATAATTTGCAACACTGAGAGAAAGACTATGATCAGGGATTGCGACAATCAAAGGGTTAATGCACATATATTTAATCAGACAATCATTTGGTAGTATCTCAATGCTTAAAATCATTCAGACATGATCAAGAGGTTCAGTTGTTCAGTGAGAACATCAGAATGGGAGAGAAATGTGATCTCATTGACTGTGGCCACGAAATGATTGTTGGTGCCAGACGGGTAGTTTGAGTATCACAGAAACTGATCTAGTATTTTCCCACAGAACAGTCTCTAGAGTTTACAGAGAATGGTGTGAAAAACAACAAAATATCCAGCAAGTGAGAGTTCTGTGGCAAAAATGCCTTGTTAATCAGCAAAGTCAGAGGAGAATGGCCATACTGGTTCAACCTGACAGGAAGGTGACAATAACTACTGGTTACAACAGTGGTATGCAGAAGAGAATCTTTAACCCTTTCAGGGTCGTCAGGCCCTCTCCGAGACTTGTTCTCAGGGTCTCCAAATTTTCAAAAAGAAACAAAAAAATTATTTTTTTATGAAAAGATAGAGAATCTTTTTCCGATCATAATGACACCAAAAGTATGAAATCTGATGGAAAACTTACAGAATTATGCTCTCGCGAAGTTAGCGGTCTCGATGATGTTTACGCATCGGCAATTTTTCCCATTTTGAGCCCTATTTTCGGCCAATTCCAGTGTACCAGTTGACAAAAATCATAACTATTTCGCTAGAACGCCATTTTTTCTATCAAATGAGTACAAGAACCAACCATTAACCGATTTAACTACCCAAAATACAGGGGTCAGAATTTAGCAATTTTTCCCAATTTCACACAAATTTCAAAAGATGCCAATTTCCAATAGGGTCCAGAATAAACAAGAAAGACATTCCTGGCACTAAAATAACAAGTTCTCTGTTCATTAGTCACGTCCCCAGGCCCCTCTTACATTTCTTTTTTGCTTTCCACTTTGAATTTTTGTTCTCACAAAAAATAGAAGATTTACTGTTATGCAGAACTACTGCATTAGTGTAGAAATGGTATAAATAATACAGCGCACTTGTGAAAGAATATTAGACTCACCAGTTGACATTTATTGGATGCTTAGCATGATTTCTTTACTTTTGAACTTTGATAAAAATCAAACATTTCTGCTATTTTGACCCACAATTTCAAGGTACTTTTCATTGTAAAACCAGTCAAATCATCTCAATTTCTGTAATATGCCTTCCATTCTATAAAATGGGACCAGGAAAACTAGAATACAACAATAAATACCATATGAAAATACAGTGCAAAGTCGCTGTTTTAATCCAAAAACATGGTCGAAGTTTTTTTTTCTCATTATGCACTGTGCTGCAGGATTTTTTTATACTGTGCACACTGACCACATAGACTCATTCTTTCATATGTAGGCCTAACAGCTTTCTCTCACTAGATTTGAGGGCTATAGAATTTAGGCGTACTAGTACGTCAAAAACCCTGGTGCATAAGCCGTACTAGTACGGCCAAAACCTGAAAGGGTTAAATGCACAACACTTTGAACCTTGAAGTGGATAGGCTACAGCAGCAAAAGACCACAAAGGGATTCACTCCTGTCAGCTAAGAACAGGAAACTGATGTAAAGATAGACACAGGCTGCCAAAACAGGCAGTTAAAGATTGGAAAAAATGTTGCCTGATCTGATAAATTTATTATGCTGCAATATGCAGATGGGAAGGGTCAAAATTTGGCATAAACCATAGGAATGCAGAATAATGGGTGATCTGTATTATTAACCCTTAAACGGTCCAAACGTATATATACGTTCACTCGCGTAGCGCCCCAAATTTTTTGAGAAAAAAAAATCTTTCTTTTAAAGGAAAAAAGAGATATGGTACCCAGGCATCCCCAATTATTTTAATATGGCACACAGTGGTGCGCACACCCATTCTCTCATGTCTAGGTGACTCAGGCTTATCATGGCGATGTTGAATGATTGCAAAGAAAACTTATATCATTTGGGGCGCTACGCGCGTGAATGTTTTCACACGGTCCCCGCTTTTGTATTCCGGAAATCAAAAATTTTCGCCCAATCATGGGGGTATTTTCGTAAAAAGGACTCGTTTTCATAGGTTTAAATCGCATCGTATTAAACCAGGACGCGTCCACAGCGGGGGCCGGGCGGCGCCGTCGGATTTTTTACCAGGGCGAAGGTCCCCTCACGTGCCCCACGAAATTTTTCAAAATTTCCTTTTTTTTAGTGCTTGGAACAAAAAGCCCCATGGCTCCAAAGAAAGCCCCTAGTCCCAAACCCCCTGTTGTAAAAAGGGTGAAAAATACGATTGAATTTAAAAAACCATACTAAACCCAATATGAAGGGTAAAAGGTGGCCGAACTGCCCAGGTTATAAAAAAAACCCTACAAAAACCCTTATTTCCAAGGGGCCAAAAAAATTAAAAATAAAGGAGTGTTGATGCAAAGGGAGAAACCCCATGTGCAAAATGAGATCCCCCAGTACTGGAAGAGGTTGGAAGTTTTAGGGTTGTGGATAAAGAGAAAAAAATTTACAGGGAAAAAACTCTTATGACTTTTTTAATTTGTGAAAAGGCTACTTTCAGAAGATTTTTTTAAAAAAAAAATTGGCCAAATAGTGGGAATGAGGGGATTTAGGCCAACAAAGTGGTTTGAGAGATTTAAGAACCGTATGGCATACACAGTGTGGTAAGGCATGGTGAGGCTGCCAGTTGGCCACAAGGCGGTGAAAAATATTGGCATAAAATTCCAGGATACAAAAACAGGAAGGACTAAACGAAAAAAGGTTTCAATTGGACGAAACAGGCCTCTTTTGGAAGAAAAGGGGCCAAAGGGACCTTAAATTAAAAAAAAGGGGAAAAAAGGCAATGCCAGGACAAACCTATGAAAGACAGGCTGACGCTAATGCTGCGCTAAGCTAGGGGGTTTTCAAAGTGAACCTTTACATGTACCATTCTAAAATCCCAGGTTTTTCGGGAAAAAAAATGTTATGAAGGTAAATTGTGTGTTTTTTGGGAATCTAAAGAAAAAGGGCAGGGGTCATGAGGGAAATTTTTCGGAGGGGTTCAATGAAGTGTTTGGGGCCTAGGGAAGGATTTTCTCCGGGAAAAGAAATTTGGATCTAAGTGGTGCTAGTAAGGACATGCACTGCTCACCCTCCAAATTTGGATGACCAAAATTTCGGGGAGTTTGGGTTCATCACAGAAAAATTTCTTCCCCCCCAAATCCCACTCCTCTCCCCCAACCCCATGGCCCAGATTTTGCAAATTTTAAAAAACTCTACAAAAAAGCAATTTTCCCACGGTGCTTGACTGTGACCCAGCACTCATTGACCCTAAGGGGACTTTGGGAAGAAACATTCAGCATCCTCAGCATAACCTTTTGGGTAGGGGCTTGGGAGGGAGGCACAACTTTGAACCTCCCTGGAGAAAATTGGGGCCCAATTTGCGCAGGGATTTTGAAAGAATTTGGGGACTGACCCTAATGAGCCTATTTTGTTTGAAAAATAATTTGGGCACTGGGAGTTCCATGGGGGTTGGATGTTTTTGGGAGGATGTGGAAGAATTGGGGGAAGACCACAATGAAGAGCTCACCAAAATGAGGAGGCTGAAAGGTAAAGAGGAAAGAACCTCCAGTAGAATTTTGTGCGGGAGAGGAAGAGAGATGGAAGAAGTCCTTCTTCGAATTAAAGATTTTATATTGGGTAAATAAAAAGTTTATGGAAGAAAATCAAAAAAGGTTGGAAAAAACGGTGGAAACAACGTGAAAAAGTCTTGGGGCCATTTTAGGGAAGAGTTAAAGATGCCAAAAAACCGAGCTTCCCAAAAGTTTTTTTGTGAGGACAGACTCCAGTGACTCTCAAGGTGGTCCTGGGCATTAAGAAACAGAGAAGAGAAGCAACCCCAAAAAAACAAGGGTACCGAGGTTTTGATAAAAGGGGGGTTCCCCTTCCAATATAAACAATCCACCCCTTCCTCCCCCCCTTCCCCATACACAAAAAAGAATCCCCAAAAAAGGGGTAAGTGTTATGCGTTAATGTTTATTCATTATTTCTCATTGTATTGTTTATTCAACTGTTATTTCTTTAAAAAATTTTTTTTGTTTTAATACTTCTGGGTGCGGGAAAAGGTTTAATTGTATTTAATTATTTTTATGGGGAAAAAATTGATTCGTAAATCGTAAATTTGTTTATAAAAAGGTTTCCAGGAACAAATTAATTTACGAAAACGGGGACCACTGTATACTTTGGACCTTTTAAAGGGTTTAATGAAGCCAACAAATTTGCAGCAGTGTGAGCTACATGCCACATGGACCAATTCTAAGGTTTCCAGCACCTTGTCGAACCCCTGCCTCAAAAATTCAATTGTTTTAAAGGAAAAGGGAAAATCAGTCAGTGGACCCCCGCAAACGGACCCCTTTGCATAGCGGACAATCCGCAAGCGGACGTTTTGATCGTAAAATTTTGCCCCGCATAGTGGAAAAAAACCCGCTCAGCGGCCTTCGTCGGACGCGTCCAATGTGGGCCCTCAGCCAGCCTCCAGTGCCCCCTGTGCCTTGTTTCCACCACCCTGGGGGTAACACCCAAAGCATACAC